CACACACACATACACACACACACATACACACACATACATATACACATACATACATTAAAAAATATGGAGAGAAAACACGCATACATTACAATCATACTTTCCCAATTATATTTGTATGAACTGTTAGTTTTGTACAATTTGTTTTTTTTTTTTAATTGTTAAAAATTTTCTGAAATCTCATCACAACTTACAATTGGTATCACTGATAATCATCAGGCGGATTAGATGAAATAATTTGCTAAATTGCAATGTTAACTCCTTTTTCTTTTTTTTTAAAATATTGCTAAAATTTAACGTTGAAAAATAATAAATGACTTAATTAATCTGTACAAATTGTTATCATAGGTCAGAAAATGTCATAGGTCAAATTTTTACATATCCATATCCATAAATTAAATTGCGCGATCAAAAAAAAAAATGAAATAGATTGGCAATATTTAAATTTGATGAAATTTTACTAAGTCATAGATTACTAGCTATAATAAAAAAATCTGTGACTCATTACTAGCTATAATGAGTCATAGATTTTTTCCTTTTTTTTGGTAAGAATTTTACTGAATGATGAATTATTAGGATGAAAATGACAATTGTTTAATAGATGATGTAATTGGCATTAATTGCTTCAGATTTCACGTCTTCATTATCGGGAATTAGTTAATTGGGAAATAGTCATTGCATACTGTCACTATGCAGGATGTTGAATGGATGGCAGGGCAGGTCGAGGAGGGGGAGAAATTAGGAGGGAGAATGAGAGATATGGGAGATAGCGGGGGAATTGGGAGAGGTGTTTGGGAGATTATTGTTTATTCAGGTTCGGTTTTTAATTACTGTTAATCATTGATCATTTTTGATCATCCTTACTTCTTCTCTATCAAACATTTTAATTTATAATTTGTCCAAGTTTTTTCCATTTATCGATCGTCTTTTTTTTTAATCAAAATTTGCTAGATTCTTATTGAACAATTGTATTAAGCAAAGAATGGATGACAATTCAATTTATAGTTCTCTTTCATATTATTCCCGGAAAACTTGTTCATTTTGCGGATGATTATTTTTGATTAATTCATGTATCATAATCTGTAACATAAAATAGTGAAATTAATTTACTATTTTATGTTATAAATTATAATGCATCTTTATACATACATAATTAAATAACTAAATATTCATTATTGGTGATGATTGTTTTTTTTTTGCTACTTTACACTTTAATTATTATAGGTCTACATCTTGAATCAAAAGAATAATCAAATGGCCATTATAGCTCATGGCAGACAGTTTGCAATGTTTATGTAAACAATCCACTTTACATTTAGCGTAAAGTTTATGAATTGTAATTATCAGTATATTGGTATTCGTTGTTTACGTAACGGCGAATAGTTCACGTTTCGATGAAAATAATTGTACGAACATTTTTTGTTATAGCATTTTTATTCTTTCTTACTTTGATCTTTCTAGTATTTGATATTATCAATGTAAATCCATAAAGCTGTATCTTTCATATCATCTTATCATTATAATAATTGATTTTCTGCTACTCTTTTCCGTAATTTTGCATGATTAGATGATAGTTTTTTCCTTAAATATTCAATTTCTCAAGTATCATTGCATATTGATATTCAAACAATTTTCATACATATATGTTCCTGCAATTACTTCTTTTTATTATTTATACTGCTACTAAAATTTATTTGCTATCAGAAATTGTTAAGATATTGGAAAAATGTTCACAAAAGTGCATATGCATCTACTGCCACAACTTTTTTTATGGGTACGAGGAAGGATTTATTGATTCTTTATCAAAAAGCTTGCACATTAGGATGTGAGGTTATGAGGATTTGTTGATGTGTATTTGTGTATGTACATATGCATGTATATCTCTATGGATGTGTATGTGTGCTATGTTTGCTTTGCTTGCTGTTATTGAAGTTAGGAAAACGTAGAATTTATGGCAAAGCTTAGCGAAAACACACCATAATGTACTTTCAGCTATTTCCTTTTCTAAAAAGGCAAACTTTCTTGCTTTTTTTCTCTTTTTTTATTCCATTGCTTATTGAAGATTCGTTTTTTGAGAAAGAATTAATTGGATGCGAATAAATTAATTAGTCACAAAAGTGTGAGTAAGCAGCATTTCTTTCAATAATCGAGATGATTCATTGGTCGATTTAAACTACGTTGAAATATTTGCTGATACAGAATTATCGTAGCGTTGCTTTTGATTTTTCGCGATGACTGTCGTCATTTCATCGCTATTTTTGGTTTGTAGTTTAGTATTGATGAGTTTAATGAGAGTTTTAAATTATTAATATCATCGGTATGGTTCTTAAATTTCGTATCCGTATGTCTATTGTGTATTGTCATGTCGGTTTTCATATAAATGTCTTTCCATGTTTTTTTAAACATTTATATTTCTGATTAAAGCTATAAATGCTTAGCAGACTTTACTATGTTGATTGTTTATTTATTGCTTATTGCTTTATTTGAAAATTATCTAACTAGCAAACGTTGGATTTGTCATTTGTATCATTTTCCACTATCTTTCGCCTTAATATTTTGATACATTTTGTAGTGTAAAAACCAAACATTATGAAATTGTTCACTTCTCAGTTTTCAGAAAAAAATTTTAAATTGACAATTTAATGTTTTCAAATGGATATGCCATTGTTCACATCGCTTTGTTTGTGCTTATGGTGCAACTGTTTCAGGCATTGAGATTCTGTACATAAACACACTTAGTTTTATTTTATGTACAAGCTCTTGCGGTACTAACTGGCTAGAGATTTTTATTTTGAACAAATTACATTGGCATCGAAAAGGAAATTCGTTTGAAGTTGCTATTCTTTGTTCGTCCTTTACAGTGCAGTGGTAGTTATTTAGCGAGAGAACTTGAAAATGTCGTGGGCTAATACGGGCATGCAAGCCCTAATACCGATTATCAATAAACTACAGGTTATTGCTATCATTTGAAGTTTACGACTATTTTTCAAACTGTTATGAAATTATTTGATCTAATCAGACACTCCGGCTACTTCAGCATGTCATTATCTTGTTTTAGGATGCATTCGCTCAGTTGGGGACATCGCTGAACTTTGACCTTCCGCAAATAGCAGTAGTCGGTGGACAAAGTGCAGGCAAATCATCTGTGCTCGAAAATTTCGTTGGAAAGTTAGTTTTTTTTGGAACAATACAAGAAATTTTCTTAAAACTCACTTCCATAATTTTATTGGATTTTCCTTCCATTTTAGGGATTTTCTTCCTCGAGGATCAGGTATTGTTACTCGGCGACCGCTGATTTTGCAGTTGGTGCACGATCAACATGTAGGTAGGTAACGATTACAAAAAAGTTGATAGGTTATTTCAGTATTTCATAGTATGTAATTATGGAATGTGAAAAAACAAAGCGTTAGAAACATTCAGCACTCCAATTTAACCATTTTTGTTTTTTACTACGCAATCATAGAGCGCGATATCTATGAAGTGATTGTAAATAAGTATGAAATTTATTTATTTGTAGAATATGGAGAATTTTTACATAAAAGAGGACAAAAATTTACCGATTTCGAGATGATCAGAAAAGAAATTGAAGATGAAACAGATCGCATAACGGGTCAAAATAAAGGCATCTCACCGATTCCAATCAATTTGAGAATTTTCAGTCCGAATGGTGCTTGTTTATTATATTACATAATATCTTGTGTCCTGAAGATTTTTAAGCGTATCTATATAATATTTATGTGAACTTGATGAGCATTTTTAAATTCTTCTGAATGCGAAAATCATAATTTTCTTTCGTAAAATGTTAATCTTATCTGTATTACTTCCTATTTTTCTAGCTTTCCACTTTTGACATTTTATATATTTAAAAAAAAAAACAAAGTGGGAAACAAATTTCATATATCCAAGTTTGTTCTAGCCACGTTATGATATTATCACATCAATGAAGGAGCCAAAAAATTCATTAGAATCCGCAATAAAAAAATCCGATCCCCTAAACACCGGGAATATCTACAGTATTCCCGGTATTTAGGGAATCGAATAATGAATTAATCTATACCGAAAATCAGAAAGAAGAAAATTGGACTAGCCTGGAAAACATTTTTTCAAAAAGAAATGTTCCCTAAAGACAAAATAAGACAATACTTTTTCGAAGTAATTATCAGAGAATTTTGATACCCAGAGTGACCAAGAAAGCCGGAAGCAAGAATGTTTTTTTTTTTGCAAAATGAGGAGTCAGGATTCTGGTTCCTCATTTTGCAAAAAATTATTCTATAAATGCTTTATCTTTTTGCAAAATTATTCTGTATTTCTGTGAATGCTTTCATGAAACTTTTTTTCGATAACATCTTTTCTAAAACTCCGATTTTCAACTTTCTGTACGACAGTAGGAATTTACTATTACTATGATAAAAGGTAGTCATTAGGAAATTGTTTCTGATAGATGACTACTATATCTACGAACTTTAGAAATCAGAAAGCTATTCTAGTAGACAGTAATTTACTGGAAAATTATTCCAGTAAGTAAAAATCCGATACACTTAAACTTACTCAAAAACGGTTTGAAATTTTCTTTTTTACGAAACATTCGTATTCATTTTTTGGGAGCATTTAAGGTCCGCAAATCATCTAGCGTTTCAGGTTCCAGACATTCTTCATACTGTATCTCTCTTTCAGTCATTAACAGAAATGATATTTTTATTGTGGAAAACTAGTAAATTATATTTTCAACTTTAAATTTAAATTAAAATATATTTTCAGTATTGAACTTGACTCTAATCGATTTGCCGGGCTTAACGAAAGTACCGGTTGGTGATCAGCCTCCCGACATCGAGCATCAGATACGAGAAATGCTTTTAACTTATATTTCACGTGAAACGTGTCTCATTTTGGCAGTTACCCCGGCAAATAGTGATCTTGCTACATCTGATGCTCTTAAACTTGCTCGGGAGGTTAGTTTTGTGTATAAGCCAGGAAGAAACTTCAAAGAAAAGTCGAAATGTTTTTTTTTTTCAGCTGTTATAATTTATCAAAGATTGTAGGTTGATCCACAAGGATTACGAACCATTGGAGTTTTGACAAAGTTAGATTTAATGGATGAAGGCACTGATGCTCGTGACATTCTGGAGAATCGTTTATTCCCACTTCGTAGAGGTAAATTATTTAGATTATTGTGGGTCTTTCATAAAACATAAATAGTTGGAGAAAAAAATTTTTTTTTTCAATATAATTGCTAGTGCGGTTTACTTTATGATATTGCTGAAATCATTAAGTTGTTTTTCTATTTGCAAATCCTAAAGTTTTTTTGTCAGATGTTAAAATTTCATATTATACATATAGATTTCATATTATATAAAACAAGTAATATATTTACTTTAAACACATTGGTTATGAGATTTTCATTGATTTTTACTTTCAAATATTATCTAAATGCAAAGTTTCGCTGTGTTCTGAAAAAGATCAGAAAAATAAAAAAGATTGCAAAAAATAATTTAGGTTATATTGGAGTTGTAAATCGAGGTCAGAAAGATATTGTTGGTAAAAAAGATATTAGAGCAGCACTCGATGCTGAACGCAAATTCTTCATATCACATCCCTCATATCGGTAAGTCCTTTGAACTTGTTTATCCGCTCCTTTAAAAATTATATTTCACAGGCTTGCAGTTTGCAGTCATACTAGAAATTATCACTATTTAATTTTTTACAGACATCTGGCAGATCGTTTGGGAACACCATATCTGCAAAGGACGTTAAATCAGCAACTTACAAACCATATCAAAGACACATTACCGGCATTGAGGGATTCATTACAAAAAAAACTATATGCATTGGAAAAGGATGTTAACGAGTATAAAAATTTCCAGCCAAATGATCCATCCAGGAAGACGAAAGCTCTTATGCAGTATGTTATTGCTTTTGCATTTTTTATATGAATAAGGTGAGGGAAGTTCTTTATTTGTGCCGTTGTGTGATTTATTGATTTAAATTTGTTAAGCAGAATTTTTTTTCTGAGCAAGAATCTGCATAAGTCATCTATATGAGTCATATTTGCAAAATTTATGTAGATCTGGTATCTGTGCATTCCAAATGTCATAAAACTTATGAAAGACGAGAATAGCACGGCTTGCTTTTTTATTCAAATTGAATTTTTAGATCTGTATTATTTTTTTACATTTAATCCCGCAAAAAAGCTGAGACCATTAATTTTAGGATGGTACAAACTTTCACAACAGATATCGAGCGATCAATTGAAGGATCATCATCGAAGGCCGTAAGTACAAATGAATTATCAGGAGGTGCGCGAATTAATCGAATTTTTCACGAACGATTTCCATTCGAGATCGTGAAAATGGAAATCGATGAAAAGGTTGAGTAGTTTATTTTTTAATTTTGCTATTTGAATGGGATTACCTGTGCTTGATGCTTTTAATATTTATCTTTTAGATCTTGACACTTTATTTCAGATCTCAAACATAAGATTTTTAAAGAACATGACTTTATAGTATAGATATATATTTTCTTATTTGGACTATTATAGTCGTAGTAGGTATTTTTAAAAGTTTTTGCAGAAATACAAAAAAATATAAGTAGAAATACAAAAAATAAAATGAAACACAAAAAAAAGTTTTTTTCTTTGCAGAAATACAAACTGTAAATATGCATAGTAATTCTAAGTTCAAAAATTAACTGATTTTCTTACGCTCGGATGGATTTAATTTTATAGGAAATGAGACGGGAAATACAAATTGCTATACGCAACATTCATGGTATCCGTGTTGGTCTATTCACACCTGACATGGCATTCGAAGCTATCGTGAAGAAACAGATTGAACGTCTGAAGGAACCATCATTAAAATGTGTTGATTTAGTTGTTAATGAATTGGCTTCTGTTGTGCGACAATGTGCTGAATGTGTAAGTTTTAGTATTTTTATAAGTTTCGTTGAAATCTCATTGATTATTCGATACTTCGATAGTACGATGATTACAGTGTTGTTGCACTCGCGAGCAATATTGAATATTTGACATCTTTAATTAACGCTTGAGAATTATGCTCTTTTAATATTTCATTCTTACCATTCTTAATTAAGGTGAAAGGAGGATAAAGCTGTAAAACTTGACATAAAGAAAGAAACTTTAATAGATAGATAGATTTTCCTTTCTCTCGACTACAAATGAGATAAAGAACATCAGACGTATGTTCTAGGTTGCACGTTATCCAAGATTACGCGATGAAATTGAGCGAATTGTAACCACAAATATGCGAGAAAAAGAACAGTCTGCGAAATATCATATATCGATGCTTGTTGATTACGAGCTTGCTTATATGAATACTAATCATGAAGATTTCATCGGGTTTTCAAAGCAAGTTTTCATTGTCATGATTAATTTTCGGTTTTCTTTTAATCCATGCTGAAATGCATGTGCAAACAAAAGGCCAGTGCCGAGTTCTATTTTAGTATGGCATGACGATGGGACTGTGTTACTTTTAAACTTATAGTAATTAAGTTTATGCATAAAATTCAAATTATGGCGTTCCTCATGGTAGTGGGCTTGACAGTAGAAGAAATGTGTATTTTTTTTAAATTATTGTGCAGTAAAGGCTGGTTGGTTTTTGTAGCGCGGAAGCAAAAGCATCGTCGACCTCACAAAAAAAAAATCTGGGTAATCAAGTAATAAGAAAAGGCTGGTTATCAGTGCACAATATATCATTCGTTCGTGGTTCGAAAGACTGTTGGTTTGTACTCACATCTGACAGTTTATCATGGTATAAGGATGACGAGGTATATCATTTTTGTTCTTTTCCTTTCTCACTTCATGCTTTCATGCTTCATTGCAATATTTTTTCCTCTCTTTGTTAGACTTATCAAAGTCTATTATCATCCATAATCTGACATCGACTTTTTTAAGTCGGTCTTTTGTGACTTTATTTTGTGATCATTGCTTGCTTGTAGACCAGAAATGAAAGTAATTTATGATACGGAATATCAAAAAATTGATGAGCTTGCTGATTAGGCAACTTAAATTTTAAATTACTGGGCAGGGTTATCTTTTCGGTCTTCGTAAAGTTTTTTGGGACATCCATCCAAAAATCTCGGAAGTGCCTATTTTATTATTCTCAAATGCGGATGTGTTATCCAGTTGATTTTTGCTAGTGATATTTTTTGTGGAAGCTTAGAAGTATTTAGGAAAAGGAAAAGAAATACATGCTACCCTTGGATGGAATAAAATTGCGAGATCTCGAAGCTGGTTTTATGTCGAAGCAGCATAAATTCGCTCTATTCTACCCCGACGGAAAGTAAGTTTTTTTTTTCTCTTCTGGTAACTGAAGTACTTTTGTAGTTCGTAGCTGTAAAGCTAAAGAAAGAAAAAAACGCTGGAGCACTAACAAAATTATTAACGAAAAATCAAATTTAGGCATTTTATTATTTTTGCTTGTTGTGCATTTTTACCACTGCTATGCTTTCATGGAAATTTTTTGTAGTTGTTTGATGTTGTATTAGACATACTTTGATGGTAATCTGAAATTTAAAAAAAAAAAATATTTTCAATATAAAGCTAAATATTACCTTGTTTTCTTTCTTTTTCTTTCTTTTTCTGAGATTATTTCTTTAATTTCAGCACGTAAGCAATTTAATTATTTTGCTGGAAAATTTATATGGCCTGACGGAGGGACGCTTGTTGAATTTATGCGGTTAAATGCTTTGTCTCAGACTGTAATTCAAAGGTTTGAGGTATTGGGCTGGTGCTGTTGTTTTGAGGGGAAAAGAAGGTTATATCTATGTTTTGGGTGATAAATAATAGTGTGACCGATATATTTGGTGCAAAAGTTTCATCTATACAGATGATTCATTTTGTAGATAGGTGAAAATAAATGAAAACTTCCAAAAAAACATCCCCAGCCCACCTGTACTGATTAATATTTACATGTTCTTTTTTAATATCCACTAACAACGAGTTATTTTTTACTCTTTTTGCAGAAGGTAACTATGACGACATGATATTTAAGTAACTTTTCCTCCTGAAGTTGAAATGTTGTAAATTGGTTTATCTAAAAGTAAATGGTGAATCGTGTAGTGAGAGTAGGAAATGTCTGCCTATTTGATTTTTGTTTAATTAACTAACATCAATTTTCGCACAAAATTGGCAGCTTCGAACTTTAGAACTTTTGTTTTTTTTTGCTTGCTCTATTTATCGTGTAGTGAAATAATACGTATATGATGTCGGTACCGAAGAACTTAATGTGCGTTCACAGTTGATTCAACTCTTTATGGATTGCAAAAGTTTGAAAACATGCAAGGACGACAAACCAAGGCGAAATAGCTTGCTATTGATTGGTATTATAGTTTCAGTGTTTATTATACTAATGTGTAGTAAGCAGGAGCGAGGATTGGAAGACTGTAATGGTAAGAGGAGGAAAAATTTATGTGACAGTTACTCCTCAAATAATATAAAATATTGGTAATCCATGCTTGCTTGATGGATGTTTAAACTCAAAAAACGTTTAAAATTCTTGTTTATCGGTTTTTTGGCAAGAGTTAAGTACTATAGATATAGTCGGTGTTTTAAATGAATGAATGAGATGAAGTGTTAGATGAACTGGTTTGTTTCCCATTACCGCAGCAGTCTGGTTTCCTTTTATTGTTTTTTATATTTTTGATTGACCAATTTTTCTTTATCACTATCATTTACCTTGAAAATGATATGAACTTTACTAATTGCATGAATCGTATGCATGCGTATGGCTCACAATTTCGATACGAAATGATACAAATAAGATCTATTTGTCAGGAATATCTACAAAGATTATAAACAGTTGGAATTGAGCGCTAGCAATTTGGATGAAGTAGATGCCTGGAAAGCATCATTCCTTCGTGCGGGTGTTTATCCGGAGAAGGAGAAGCCGGCTGAGGATGGTGAGGTAGGCTTCACAATTTTCAAATTTTTACTTGAAGTTGTGCACTATTTCAATAAGTAATGTCTGTTATAAATGTAAGATTCTTAAAAAATTTTTTCCTTGATTGTCTTTATTTTTCTTTGATATGCAATATCTTCTTCTGACAGGCTGTTGCGGAAATTGAAGAAACATCGGTGGATCCACAACTTGAGCGTCAGGTGGAAACAATTCGTAATTTAGTTGACTCTTACATGCGGATTGTTACAAAAACAATACGAGATCTTGTGCCAAAAGCAATTATGTTTCTTATTGTCAATAAAGTAAGATCATCTTTCACAGAAATGGATATAAACAGCTTATAACGAAATAGAATTGGAAATAGGTAAAGATTGTTGAGATGTAATATTTCATATATCCGAAAAGCTTGCGTCATTGCTACAATTCAGATAGCTGATATTAAGCATTCCGAGCCACTGTACATCTGAAGAAACGATAAATTGGAAGGAAAACGCAGGTTTTAATGGTTGATTTTTTTAATTTTAACGTGTTTTTCAGGTCAGCGAATTTCTGCGCGATGGTGACCTTTTGGCTAATCTTTATCAGCTTGGTGACACAGTCAGTCTTTTTTCTAATTTCATTTTAATTTTTCCTGATTTTCTCCATATAAAGTAGCAAAATCAGCAAGATGGTAGGTTTTTCTTTGTGACTGTTCAAATATTTGTTTTAACAGTACCCTTTCTTCTACCCTTGTTTGTTACTTTTTTTTGGTACTATATGGTAACTAATAGAATTTTTTCCAGGACTCGATGATGGAAGAAAGTCAACTCGAAGCACAGAAACGAGAGGAAATGTTCCGAATGTATCATGCTTGCAAGGAAGCGTTAAAAATTATTGGTGAAGTGAATATGACTACGATTTCAACTGATGCACCTCCTGCAGTAGCAAGTGATTGGTTGAGGTAACTATTTTTGGGACTTAACAAAATTTCAACTCTGACTGTGGTTGATTTTAGACAGATTCAGTGGCAAATTCTATTTATCTTTGTTACTTATCCACTTTCTTGCTCAAGAAAAGAAGTTGCTTCATCAAAATATTAAAAAAATCCCAATTTTAGATCTAATGGACCGTCTCCGGTACAACGACCTGGAATAGGTGGTGGATTAACCGCGCAGCGTCCAGCTCCTATGCCACCGCGACCGACGGGAAATGTGCAGAATGCGTCCTCACTTGCGAATCGACCACTACCGGGACCACCGGGTAGTCTTCCTGCTCCGTTGCTACCCATGTAAGTGTATTAACAGTTATAGCATAAATAGCTGTTGAAAATATTTCGCATTAGTCTCTCTAAATTTCTTTGAATCTAATTTTATTTTGTATTGAAGTAGTTAGGATTATGTCATACATCTCTTGTATCATTTGGTTTTTTACTATATTTTTTTGAAATTTTCTTTTGCCAAACGTAAGTGATGCATATGATATGATTAAATTAATAATTTCTTGATTATGCAAAATGTACAAGAGCATTCTATCCTAAATAATATATTGCAAAATGCTTTTGATAATTAATAGATATGGGGAAGTTTGAGAAACTAATATTCTGTTATTGTTTCATTTGCTTAACACTTATTATTCATTAAGTGAATTTATGAAACCATTTAGGCGTCCAAAATAATTCAGTAAAGGGTAAATGATTAATATTTTTTTAGCCTGCTATTATAATGAAGAATTAGAAATGCATGTTGTTTTGTTTTTACTTATTTATGTATAGTATTGTTGTTGTTGGTATATAGTATAACAATAGTGGTTGTAATGGCAGTAAGCTTATCGCTTTTTCACCACTAAAACATGCTGCTTGTAACTCTAGAAAGTTGTTTATTTGATTGTCCTTGGTGCACAATCTAGCTAGAAATTTATTATCATCAAATTCCAGCTGCCTTGTTAAATAATGCAGCTGAAGTGACAACGGTAAAATAATCTAAAAATACGCTAAAACTATCAAATTGAAACATTTGAAATCCTCAGTCTGTGAATATCCCATGAGATAATTTTTTATATTTATTGCTAAAGTTGGTTAGATAATTATGATTTATCAAAAACTTAACGGACAATCATCTTGAATGATGGCATTCCGTATATTCTGCATCTCATCGTATGGTGCATGACTTGTGTGCCATGCGGTTCGATAGAGTAGTAAAAAGGTTTGCTAATTGTAGTGTTGATTTTAAATCGAAAACTATGAAGTAGACTCTTTGTTTTTCTCAAACATCTGAAGTATTTTAATAAGCATTTGTTTTTGTTTCAGTCGGGTGCATAACAATTCAACAGTTCAAAATGGTGTGCCGCCAAGGATACCAGATCGACCGCAAATACCTTCACGTCCTTATTGAGTTCTAGCTGCTACGATCTTTTTTCTTTCTATGTAAATATTTTTCATTGTTAAGGTCTTAATTCAAATAGTGGTATTTAAGAGTCAGTGCCACTTTAATTCTTGCTTTAGGATATTAGCAATTCCACATAAAAGCGATTCAGATTTTGAATACTTTCGTCATATATCTTTAATCTGACACATCTAATAAATGAATAATATCATAATCGGAAACATTATTATGGTATGAACCTTTTATTAGATTATGTGATTGGAATAAGCTTACTACAATGCTTAGTATTTGTTTATACCCACCGTTACATGGAGAGCTGTTTCTCATGAATGATTTTTTTTTCTGATAAATTTCCAGTTGTGCGTAATATACAAAAGCATTTTTTATGTATTTACTGTATCTGTAATTTATGTGTTAAAGAAGAGATGTTGTCAAGGCTTCCAAAGCGAAATACTTAGCTGGCGCAATAAATTTCATTTTTATACTACAGAAAAAGGTCGGGAAGACTTGATTTGAAACTGGATAAATTTGCTATCTAATATCAGATGACCGAAGCAGACAGCACATTTCTACAGTTTTGCAGTTTCTCAACATATATCTAAGTATAATTCTGTGTGTGAAATGCTAAATGTTCTGAATAGAAAGCAGGAATGGAAATTGAACGTTGGTTTTCCTAGCTGCCGCTATAACAATCATTTTCATTTCACGTGCAAGACATTCTGTAAATTGTGGGAACTCTTCAATTTTTTATACTTGTCAACCATTTGAAAATTTTGCTTTATTTTGTTTCTCCGTAGTCTTCTCTTTTAAATTGGTTGGTGTTATATTGTTTGTGGTAGATTTTATTGCAAATCGTAGCAGTAAAATTTTCCATGTCTAAGTTTTGCTATGATTTATTTCTCTTTTACTGACAATCTCCTTTTCATCTAACTTTCCTCAGTTTTCTGGATGAAAGAAAAAAATGGCATTTACTCACTAAACTCAATTCAATTCCCAATTTAAACTTTCAAATGAATTATTTTATTGACAGTGGACACTTCACGAAGGTATCTCACTACATTTGAAATTTAATTAAGGTTTAATTTAATCTCAAATTAAATTAAATCTTGAACTGGTTGCTTCCAACAATTTCTCTGGTGTTGTTGCGTTGCATATTTAATTGCTAAGGTAGAAGGGATTCTAGAATTTAAATATGTTTACCGAGCACAGTTATGCGATGAAATTCCTTCTAGAAGTATTTTTGAAGTGTTATTCGTTCAAGCATGATAATTTCCATGTTGATAATTTGTGTAGCAATGTTCATAAGTAAACTTATATGTTTGTGATTTAGCTTCTCTACAAATTGTGCGCGCTGAATTTGCGAACTTCGAGGTTGTTTTTTTTTCTACGGATAAAGGCAAATTTTTTGCAGTTAAGCCATCACAAATTAGAACAAAATCCAGCTTGATTCAAATAACTAACGAAGAGAAACGCAATCTTGAGAAGGATAAATTTTCTTATACTGAATGCTGTCTGTACCCAGTCAATTGATATTTTACAAAATGAAATAAGTCGGATTTAAATATTCCCGTTCCTATTGAAAGGAAATAGGTTTTATGGTTTCTCGGGTCGAGGAAGACATTATTTGGTGGAGGTGGTATGCTGGAAGTCATTTGTAAAAGAAACGTCCTCAACTTCAAATTTAAGTGTCTTTAAATACAAGTTACGGAATTTGTTTCTAGTTAAGATATTAGCGAAAAATGTTCAAAGTTTTAAGCACTAAATCTCCGAAAATGCAATGCAGCAAGTTGCATCTTTCGATTAAGTGTTTAATATTTCACATTAGAGCTAATGAATGCAGCGATGAGACATCAGTCCGCTTCCTCTTCAAAATATTCATCTTCTGATTCTTTCTCACTGTCGTTCTGGTGACTCTGAACCGTTGGTACATGTAAATGATAGTCTTTGGAAATGGATGATTTTGTTACATTCCGATGACTTCTACCATACTGTTTCCTTACTTTTAACATTTTGTGAACATAGCGTAACTGTCGTTCTCTGCAAAATTACAATGTATTGTTATAACTTATTTGATAAGAGAAAGTCGACCTCATAGTTCCATATTTTTTTATGTAAAATTTCTTTCGGGACCGCTGTTAGCATTTCTACCGTACAACGTGCTAAACCGAATTCCACATTTAAATATGCTGTGATCCAGAATGACAAAGAAGGTGCTCTGCAAAAGGGGGGGGAGGAAACGACATACTAGCGAACATACCTGTAAGCTTCATTATCTGGATCGAATTTAAATGGAACATAAGAATCCCTCGGCAGATTTCTCGGCGTTAAACAGTTTGGTGATTCAGGAATGCAAATTTTTTTCCGACGAATATTCCTTCGAACAGATTTCGGTGTAGGAGTACGCAAGACAGACAGTAGTGAATCATCGGAGTCAAAAGTTGTCACCGATGGCATTATCTGAAGTGTTCATAAACAATCTCTTTCGAATTGAAAAGATGAAATAGAAGTTATATCGAAAACGTAAAAACACAACAACTTAAAGCAAAATTGGAATCTACTGAAATTTAATAACTGACTGCTATTTTTCTCCCACTTGGCCCGGCATCCATCGTTTCTTCGAAAAAGTCTGAACCATCGCCTGCTTTCAGATACTGTCGAGTGAATCGATCCGCTTGAATCTGATGTGCAAGTGTGCCAACCTATTATAAATTTTTTCAATTTAACACAAGAAAAAAAGAGCAACTAATCAACATAAAATATTCGGCTAAAATTACATCAAATGCATCATTAGGCTATTGCCTGCAAGCGTTTCACTATGTGCATATGCCTTCAAATCTCTACTTGATGTCTCTAATTATGATGAGAATAATATGACCTACTTTAGTTTTTCTAAGTGCATCCATCACATCAGCTGATATACTCGCCATTTTACTTTCTTTTGGCGTAATATTCAGTTTCAGAACCTCCAATGCTTGCTTACGACATTCTTCCGCCGTACGTGTTCGCATTGATGCAGCAATGTTTTCCCAATCATTTTCATTTTGTGGACACATAGCACGAACTGCTAACTAAAATGTTTCACACTTGCTATATCGTAATAGATACTAATTAAACAAAGTATTAAACAAAGTCTACTGAAACCTACGAAATTACTCTTGTTTAACGATGATTCCACTTCTCTAATTGTGCCTCTCTCCTACGTTCACTACTGAGAGAGAATAAAAAATTTTTCGATGACTGATCCAAATATGAAATAAAGCTTAATATTCCAATGAAATTATTTTTTATCGTCTGCAGAATTTCACAACAAGCTTTTACTTTCAGTCTAGTATTATCATTGCATGTCCATTTTCTCGCTCGCGCATTTTTTGTCTTTTCAGTAACAGCGTCATTGGTGATTCTTCCTGTCTTTGCGTTTTCCACACCATTATCCGATTCCACATCACTGAATGATATAATTGGTACCGTTTCCTTAACGCTGTTCTGTTTGTCATCATTCTTTTTTTCTGCTAAAAAGTTTATTAGATAATGTGTGCTGTCAGCAACATTCAATCTTTTATTTGAAAAAATAAAAAAAAGAGAAAAGAAAAAAAGAAACCGTTTTTAGCTTTCGAAAGAGTTTCTTTTTTAGACATGCTCTTCTGCTTTAGAGAAATCTCCTTATACGTTTTGATGTGACGTTTGCGCAATTTATGTTTTTCCTTTTCTTTTATGCTTTCTTCTGGTGAAGATATAATCATACGTGAACTATGCTGAAAATGATAAGATTGAAATAACAAAAGTATATTTCGAAAAAAGCACATCAACTTAGATGAAAATTTGAAACTTTTAGCCTCTTAAAAATCAAGATTTACTTACATGTCCACGTTTTCCACAAAAGGGCGTTACGGGTGTAGGTGGAGAGAGCCTTCCATCGTCATCATCAGAGGAAGAACTCTTACTGTCACTGTAAGCAACAAGAGGAACTCTTGCGATGTTGATCTTGTGAAGATTAGGGTTTTTATCTTCTTTTGGCTCGGTTTCTCGTAAACTCATCTCACGGAGACTTGATAAAGAGCTCTAAAATTTACAAGTAGGTTTCCACTTATAAAATAATTGGTTTATGTTTTCTGCTACTTTGCTTTTAATAAAATTTCTGTTTTTAAAGCATCAAATTAAGCCAAGGGATAAATTATGGATTGTTCATTCCACTTTCGTTTATTGTTAACTTGCATTGAAAAACATTCCCTGCACCATCAATAAATAATTTCTTATCCACGTTCTAGATGAAAATCCCAAATCGATGAAAAATTTTACTATATCTGAAACGCTTGTCGAATAAATGGAATCTGTTGTAATGCCGACAGCTTTTATTGGAGAACCGTGAACATTGTACATAATTCGTTGTCCTGTCCACGTTGCCAGGCGTGGTTTAATAGTACGACCACTTCTAGTAGTTTTCAATACAGAAAGATTCAGAGAATCTCGCACTAGAAAATATTATTATTCATCTGTGAAATATCTGGCTTAAAATTTATCCAGTTTGTTAAAAAAACTGAGAATATAGGATGAAAAAAGCGAAGAATGAAAATGAAAAAGAAATAAATTTTATCTTGACAAATACTTGGTCCTGACACGGTTATTAGTTACCTGCATTTTTTTCTTCGAGTTTCACTCGTTTTGGGGGAGCAAGGCAATTGCTTGGTTCATGCTTATTACTTCTTTTCTTTCCAAACTTTACCCGATCTGAATCTTAAGAATTATGAATGTATGTAAAATTCCAGTTCAATTGACTGAAATATATTTCAAAAACAAGACCCAAAATTTACAAGAATTTTCAACTCGATATCGAACAGATTTCCCTGAAGTGGAATACTTTGTAGACTTCAGATCTTTCTTATAGTTTTGAATGCTATCGTTAGAGGATGAGCTGTCAGAATCACTATCACCAAATGAACAGCTTTTGACATTCTGCTCAAAATCAGGGCAATGCAAATTTTCCACTTCATCATCTTCATGAATTTCAGAAATAGTCAACGATTGTTGCGGAGGCAGTTGCGGTTCGCTAAAATTTAACCTTTAAATTTTGAAACATCTGAGGAAGATAAAAAAATATGATGTGTGATAACCATGAAAAATTACTAGTTAAAAGTCAGAAGAAAAAAGATTCAACGATCCTCATAAATTACTGAAAAATTTTGGCAGAAAGAGTTAATAGAACCAAAGTACGGACATTATGTTGCTTGGTATTGCTATTGTTAATTGCTAGATAATAAATCTCGAATGAAAATAAAGGCTGAAACTCACATATAGGTGTTGAAAAACAATGACAGGATACGATACCAATCTTTTGGAAATCCATTCAAGAACTGGGTCACAAATTCTTTCGGAAATCCTGAACAAAAAATGAAACAAATCTATACTGACAAGATCTTTAGTTAAAATTATAATAATGCCAGATTAATTTCTTGTTTTGCCTTCTCTCTCACACATTATATCGGTATGCTGGTAAGAAGAGATTATATGATTCAATCAAGTTGAAATTTCATATATTTTATCAGCATTGTGATGAATACCAAACAAATATGGAACAGTTTGATATTCAGGTTTAAATGAAGGTATAGCAAGCTAGTTACATTTGGTTCACACTATATGTTAATTCAAGACCAAACGCAATAAAAGCTAACCTTGCTGCGCGGCTAATATTGTATTAATTGGTCCGATGAGTTCATATACACCTGTCTCAGTTCGCAATAAACGATTACTTTCTACTGCAACAATACACGATGTTTTCCAATCCAAATTTTTGTCTCTAAATATAAATTAAAAAAGAGTTGATCAAACTGACGACTTGGACAGTGCTTATATACTGGCTTTCATTTATTCAAATAATTGAAAGTCTGATAAGCTTAAAATGTCAAAAAGAAAGCAAAAATAGCAGATAATTAAGATAACTTACGGACGAAAACCAACTATAACAAAAGCAAAATTCGGGAAAAGCTTTGAATGTCCTAAGTCATTTGCAGAAAAACGTATCGTCCAGTTATACAAATCTAATAGTTCTGAAAAGGTGTTAGGTAGTGGAGTGAAGTATTCCTTTATTTCTGCTTCGCAAAAATATCAATTTTGCCATAGTGATAAAAAGAGAACATACAGAAACAATAACCCGTTAATTCACACATCTGTTTTAAATTTAGGATCCGAAAAATCGAATTTCCGAAATTTAGATCAGAAACATTTAGTGGAAAATATAGATGCCAAAAAGTAGTATATCATAAAAGAAATTTGTAAGCACTGTCTATTTTTATTAAAAGAATATTACATATATTAACTAACTTGGATGACGTCGCTGAAGCGGTAACAGCGGCATTTTAAACAACATAGCTTCTTGTGACTTATCTTCGAACATCTCTTTCTCACCAGGCACCTTCACCTCGGTGTTAAATTTGTCTGACAAAGAATGGTTATCACATTTTGGTGTCATCTTTTGTTCATTGGAATCATGATTTGAAGATGTGACAGATATATCAAGAGTTTTCGAAAATCTATCGATCGGATTCGTACAGTTATCAGAAAACTTGGATGTAGAGAATTTGTCTTTACTTATTTCTTCATCCTCTTCCGCAATTTTATCCTTGATTAACAAACATTTCGCGCGTTTTGCATTACTGTTTGAAGGTGATGACACTTCATACTCATCAAGAACTACAATAATTTTAAATAAAAAACAAATTATATAATCAGATGAAGAAATAATGCATAATGAAAATAAAGGAATATATAAATTTGACTTGAAATTAGATGCCTACTCTTCAGAAATTATTTCTGATAGATTGCAAAATGTGCTCGATCCTCTTAGCAAACATTTCTCAGCAAGGAAATAAACAAAAATATCTAATGTTAACTGCTTCAATTACTTTTTTTAAACGTTGATGTGCGATGTCCATCGATTCGTGAACATTTATATATATCTAGGAATATACCATTGAGAAGCACAGAATGTAATCTTTGAGATACATTAAGTTTATTAGGCCGCACCACATTATTGTAATAATCACACAGAAGTTCTCGCCATTCATAAGGAAAACCATCTTTGAATCTTTCAATTAGCGTCTTTGGATATCCTGAAAGGAAGCATTACTTCAAAAAAAATGATATGGAATACTAAAAATTTTTTTTTCAAGAACTTTTGGAAAATACGAAATGCTATTAAATTTGTTACAGCACTGACAATCAATTCCATACTACAAAAAGAAGGCTTCTATGAATTCCCAAATTATTAGGAACATGATACAAAACAAAGCTCAAGCTCTAACAAATCAGATCATTTTTGCTAATGAAATACATTAATGAAGTCGCAAACAGATTTTGCAACATTTTAAAATTATTTTCTGTCTTCGAGCATTAAAACCAATTTGAGTAAGTTAAAGAAGTTTTAAATATCGGTATTTCCAACAAGTAAGTATTTAAAAAAACTTTTTTTTAAGAATTCAAAATATTTTAAAAACTTCTGAATAAATAATTAACAAAAAAATAATTACCGAGTCCATATGCTGAATCCTGATCAAGTACTCCATGTAAAACATATTTGGAGCCGCTAACAGTTAGTAATATCGTTGAGTTGTATCTCTCTTTGATAGCTGTACTACGCCAATTTTCTAATTCACGTTCTTCGACGTCTTTCTTTCGATAACCCTCCACGCATACAGCAAATTCATCGTTATCGTTACGAATAAACTAAAAAATTTAATATTTGCTTGCCACAACTTAAATACCGACATTAATTATTAAATGTAATCAATTCAATATATGCCTCAATAATGAGTTTTACAGAAATATAAATTTTCTGCGTTTTTTAATACGTGATTATAAAACCATTACGTGCTGCCTCCTTATTCAAATACTGAAATGTTCCAAATAAAACTTCAAATCTTGAAAGCAAATCAAAAAATCTCTTCAAACCCTCAAATACAACCAACTAAATGGCGACCTTCGAACAGAGATTAGTATTAACATTTTGCAACATATTATTAGTGAAATCAATGTCAACCATAGTTCGAAAAATTTTTAAATGCATTAAATTTTTTAGTTGTATTGATAATGGACTTGAACAAATCTTTCAGATTTTGTCATATTATTAAATGTCCGGAAAATCTATAAAATTAATTATCACTTGTTTACAAAATATCTGAAATTTTACCACCCATGAATAGTCCCAAAATTTTGAGTTTTAAAAGATTCTGCAATAATTAACCTTAAAAATCCATAATTTAAGATCAATTACTGCCTGCTTGTTTTTCTGTTGTGAGTACATTTCTTCTTTTCGCTCTTGTTTTAATCAAACATCTGTAAAAAAAAAAAAACAAAAATTGATGGCGGGCAAGCTAAGAAATAAATTGGCAATATGTTTCATCAACAGATAACAAAATGACACAATCATTCACTCTCATATATCATATTGGTAAGAATGACAAATAATGAAGAGTAACCGCTATCATGCGTAACATATATACACAATTTGACAAGCTCAAATAATAACAATAACATGTAAATTAGTGTTTACATACAATCATTAGAACACAAAATTAAAAATCTACATCATGATGTGCCGCTCGTAGAGTGGGCGAACCTTAATGTTTAACCATATTCGAGACATAGTAGCTTGATTACCAAGCGTAAAAATATGACCAAAATGTTAGGAATAATGTCGCCATTTCTTATTATAAAACGATAACAAAGAACCTAACATGATGCATTTTTAGGTGTATAAAACGTTTCATGTACAAATTTTTTCTTGAAATTAATTCCACATACTTAATCTGTCAATCGGAATATTCTCATAGCTAAATACCTTCACTTTTTTGCAAAATTGAATTCTGTTGTCTTAATACAAATACGTCAGAGTATAATTTCCGCACTTAATACCATGCACTTCCTAGAGCAGTCACACGTCTCACGTAAAACGACCTTACTTACCCCTTATCAAAATATAAAATTTGGCGCGCAAGTAGTCGTTATATTACGCTGACCTAGTTAAAATGCATTGTTTAGACAGACTTGATATGCAAATTTTTGTCCCGAACATTGTTTAGTGTTTTGTGGATTTGACGGATTATTACGCTCAAAGAGCAAAAACTAAACATTATGAAGTAATAAACAATTGTTTGATGCTTTTTTTTCAATATATTTCAATTTTTGATGTTTTATTAAAGTAACATACTTATTAATGAGTAATCACAACAATTTTAAAATTGCCAATTATTTAATATATACACATACGCACACATACACACAAACACAAATACATTTTTGAGTGTATAATAAATTAATTATTATTATTATTGCTATTATTACTATTATTATTACTGTTAGTATTACTATTGTACATGTAATATAATCATTATGATATTGCTTTAAAGCAAAATAAAGCAGTTTCATAGTAATGATTAAAGTATCATTTTCCATTAATATCTTAATGAAGTTTTGCCTTTTTTCTTTTTTTAATATGTTGGTATATGCAAAACAAAAGTTAAATTTTTTTTGATTTTATTTTTAGTACTATCCTAAAACAAAAAATCATTTATATTTTATTAATCAAACAACAACTTCAATCATTTGAGCTTTAAGATTAAATACAAGAGGCAAAAAATAATGTAAACGAGTAGGTTATGAAAGGATTTCTTTATTTCAGTTGAAATTTGCTTAGCTTAAAATGTATACCTCATAATTTCATTTATTCTTTCAATAATTATTACTTATTTATAAAAAATATGTCAGCAACGATTAGATTGTTTTGTTTTGTTTTTTTTAACATTTGATTTGATAAGAAATTTTAGAGTAAATGATTGGATAAAAATAAGAAAGAGCAAACTAATTATGAAACTGATGCTGCAAGTTTTTTCTTCTTTTTCTGAAAAAGTGCAAAAACATAGTAAAAACATAGCGTCTGATATGATTTCTTGTCACCAGAAAATTTAACACAATGAATGTTTGAAATACAGGCTTATGTAAGCTATCACTTTTTACTTGAATGATGCGAAATACTTCAGAATTATTCCAAATAATCTACAATTTTTTATAAATTTTTCCAAATCTGAAACAAAAATAAAATATATAAGACAATATCACTGTTTTTTAATTGAAGTAAAATATATTAACAAACATTTGTTATCAGTTGATTTCTTCTTTTTCATTCATTTTAAAACAACGCCTTATTTTAAATGTTTAGACATAAAACTTAAAGCAAAAAACTAAGACATAAAACTTAAAACAAAATTTTTGAAAAAAGGAAAAAAATTAGCACTGTTATACATATGTACAGGTTAATTTGATTTCAATGTTAGGCTGATCGAAATGATTGCATTGCGTTTATTTTAGTACGAAATATTTGAGAATGCGTGCGCATATGTGTATGAAGATTTGATGCCCGATTGAATGCTTTCTCGCATATCGAACAAATGTAAGGTTTCACCTAAATTGAAGTTGAATTTTTAAATATTTTCTAAATGAAATGTGCAGATATTCTTATCACTACAAACTCAATCAATACATAATTTTTATCTGATATGGAAATGCATGTATAATAAGAATATATGCATATAAGTATATGCAAATCGCTACATCTATAAAATTAATCATTGTATATAATCTTTATAAAAATGCACGAACAATAAATGGAATGACTGCAGGTGTGATTAATATAAGCAGTATACATTTTTTAATTTAATTTAATCTTTTGTTTTTTTGTTTATTTATTTCTGATAGTATAATAAACGTGAAAAGCATTTAACCGTTGTATGGGTAAGACGATGACGAGTTAAATTGCCCGGTTGTCGAAACGCTCGACCACAATGATCACAATGAAATGGTTTTTCACCC